AACAGAAAATATAAATATGGAAATAAGGAAAGGAAAAACATGGGCGTTGTTATGGTAGAATAACGATCTATGATCATAAAATATCGGGGATGGCAGGAACAGGAAATAGAAACTAGCAGTAGATAGTGGCGTTTATGGTAGTTGAGGGTAATTACATGTAGTAGATTTAGCAGCGCAGCATTATTCCCATAGTGTTGCTTCATATACTAAATTAAATCCGAGTGAGAATAATAATGTCTATGTTCACAATTATTTTTATTTGGTTAGTGAGTAAAGTACAGTACATTATTTATGATCAATAAATATTAAAAACAAACACTTGAATTTCTTTAAAAAAATATTCTAAATTAAAAGATTTAAAGTGGTAACAGCTAAATAAGTTCTTGAGTTTTATAAATTAATCTTTTATTTTTTATAGATCTATAGTTCATCTGAATAGTGTACGTTTTAATGTGTGGCAAAACTCAATTATTTAAGCATTATAAAATTTTTAAAATATAAAGTTATTATGATTCCTTTGAAAAGCTCCTAGCTTTTTAACAAAAAAGCCAATATACTGTACATTATTGAAAATTAAAAGGAAAACTCTATTAAATGTAACATAAAGTAATTTAATATTTCTTTCCGCGTATTTTTTGTCGTGATGCTTTTCTTTGGCATGACGATTCTCTTTGACATGATTATGAGGTTTGTATATAGTAGTGTAATGATGTTTATGGTGGGGTTTGGTATGATAGTGATGTACGTGATTTTTGGTGACCGTCTTTGTAAAGATGGTTGATGTTCTAAACTTTGTTGTAGTTTTACAGGTGGTGACAGGCTCTTTTATAGTAGTTTCTTCGGTATTGATCTTTTCTTTGGTGGAAGTTTGTTCGGTCTTGGTTTTGGTCCTTTCTTTAGTAATATCATCTTCGGCCTTGATAATCTTTCCTTTGATGGCGGTCGTTGCATGTTTATTGCCGCCATTGACATTATTGGTATTGGTCGCAGCGTTGGTCCCTATATTTGTCGCGACTATAGTCGAGTTTAGTATTGGTCACTGTGGCTGTCGCAGTGTTAATCATTGCATTTGTCGTGACTAAGGTCGTTGAATGTTTATTGCCGCCATTATTATTAGTAGTAGTGCCTTGCGTAGT